GCGAACCTCTGGTACTGCTGGTCGAAGGAGAGGAGGTTTTAGACCAAGATCAACTACATCAGGGGATTGCCGCTACATTGTACATCAGATGAGAAATGATCCGCGTCAATCAGCTTCTGTGACTGTGATGACATTTATTACGACTTCAGGGAAAGCCATCTCATGCGCCTTAGTGGCAGGACGACTGCACGGTGGCAGTGCCTTTGCCCGACGACCGTTCCTTTGTGTCGCTTTGACGCTTGCACATTGGCGAGACCGTTTGCGATGGTGTCAGGAGCATAGCGAATGGACTGATGAGGGATGGAGCTGTATGTTCATTTCGGATGAGGGCACACTCAGTGTGAGCGGTGATGCTAAACACAACCTAATATAGCGAAAGGTAAGAATACGCAACTTTCCCGGAAACATTGTCGTACGCGATCGTTATGGAGGCCGCGATGTTGCAGTGTGGGTAGCCATCTTTTGCATAGTCGTACGACCTTCAAGTTTTTCGAACGAAGATCTCTTACCAGTTAACGTTACTGAGACGAGTTACGTCTTCCTCATGTGTGTCCTTTTCATGGCTGCACTCGGCCCTGAATTCGTTTTTGTTGTCGACAATCATCGGCCGCAACACAGATGGAGGAGTTCTTGGAACGGAGGATATCCGGCGAATGTAGTAGCCTGCCCGTTCCCCCGACCTGAACCCCATCGAGCACGTGTGGGATGCACTGTGTAGACTAATTGCAATTCACGAATGAACATCCAAACATTGGTCATATGTGCTGATAAAGGGATGCTTAGACCCCTTTTCGAAGTATCAGGATAAGTAGTGAAGACTTATGAGCAATCTGTATCTTTGAATAAAAATGTCATATTTACTCGTCTTATTTCGAATTTCGGCTGAGCGCCAATACTGCTCTGGCGCTCTCTTGGTATGGCATAAATCTCTGGAGCTAAGCTATCTGAATAAGTAGTGAAGACTTGTGAGCAATCTGTATCTTTGAATAAAAATGTCATATCTACTCGTCTTATTTCGAATTTCGGTCGGCCGCCAATACTGCTCTGGCGCTCTCTTGGTATGGCATAAATCTCTGGAGCTAAGCTATCTGCAGAAGTACAGTAATCGAGAGTTACTTTCGTCTCCTTAAGTTTCGCACACCAGAACAGTTTGACTGTAGTACTTAGCGCAATTGTGCCACTTGCCGTAAAACAAACTTGCCGCAGTTCAGTCAATATCAACCAATAAAAACGTACTGAAGATTACTCACCTCTCCTCCTACGAACAAGTTCACATATGATTGATCTGTTTTGAACAGAATGAAGTCCATCAACGATCCCAATAGTTTACGGTTGTTTGTAGTAGGCCGCAGTTTCCTGAAAGGAAGGATTATTCTTTCTATGACTAGTTAAAGTTTATAACACGCGAAAATTAGTGTGCACGTAATCTATGTGATGCTATTGCGAGGGGTTGGCAAGTTGACTAGGAGTCTAGCTATAGTTTCGGCACTGTTTTGCCTCCTAGCTTCCTACAGTTAGCTAGCTGATCAGAAAATGTTACTGAGATTGCTGAAGTTGCTAATTTACAGACATCCTGATGTCACTCATACTATTTAGCCGACGTATAATTTTTGACGGACCGCTTTAATGGGATTTTCTTTCCATCGTTCTTGGGCCGAAGGAGGAAGGAGTAGCCTCTAGCCCTTCTCTCACACCGACCAAGTTCTTCTTACATTTTCATCTACTCTTACTCTTATGACGCATCTTGAGCGCATAATAAATAAATAAAGTACGAATATTTTAGCTTCAAAGAAGCATTCTATTTCCAGACCAAAGCCACTGGAATCATCTCTACGAAAAGTGCTGATTTTTATGAGGCCGATGCGACATGATAGGGTATTTGCGTGAATCACCCTCGTCTGTTCGAATTCCGATTCACGCCTATTGGACAATCTAAACTTTGGCCTCATGCCTGATTAGTCTACCAGTATTAATAGGTTAACAAATTTTACCAATCTGACGTCAAAGAAGCCAAATGCTCGCCCGATGTGTGTTTGGCTGTATTGAGCCAATAAATACCACCAAGCGAAAGAAACCAACAACATTTCAGATGTAGAGCAGCAGATCCATTCGTAAAGTACCGGCTGAATGTTACTGAAACGTTGTCGAACTGCCAGTCATTCGGCAAACATTATGTCCCAGTATTAAAAAAAGGTCTTCGATAATGCTGTCGTCAGGACCCTGTGTCACACATACTAGCAGAGTAACGCCGTCTGCCCACTCACTCCCATATAGATCATATCAAAAAATAAGACAACGACGAGGTGTCCCATGTATTTTGCAAAACACATTCCAGCGAGAGAACCTCAGCTAGATGTGCGTAAGAAGGATTACTGAATTTCGCAACACTGTGAATCTCCCGCGAAATTTCGACAATGAAACCCACTATGATTCTCCTAAGAAGCTTCAATAATGAGCAGCAGCACCTTGATTATTGACGTTAGATCTACACCCAAAAAAAAGAGCCCGGAATAAAAGCAGTCAACTTATTCTCTTAAGAGGAAATCCATTGACTTCAATGAACTTTGTCCAGTTTGTCGTCAAATTTTTCATGGCGCATTCAAAACTAGAGGCATAAACCGAGAGAGCTGCAGCAGCTTCACGGCACTATTATCAAGATGATCAATTAACTAAAATTAAGCTCGAATTTGAAGTGTGATGCTTCTCAGTGTTTTCAGTCATATAGCTTATGCGAGCTGAGCGAGGGGAAGATTAATACACCTCTCAAATTGAACGTCAAATCAAACCTTCCACGTTATCGTGCGCCCCCTTCTTGGTGCAGAAAGAAGCTATATTTTTGAACACACCAAACAGTGGCAACTACCACTGGCCTCTCATAAGACAATGTGCATAAGGTTTCGAAGGTCAGCCCTTTTTTATGTGGTTGATGGTGTCACTGTTGCTTCTGTGAAATTGGTGCGAGATTTAGGCCTTCACTACGCCAAGACCCTGGGTTTCTCCAATAAGACCAGGAACCGCTGCAAATTAGCTCTAATGCGTACATTCCAAATTTTTAAGGGTCTCTCTACAGCTAATATGCGGCGGGTTTTCTCCAAACATACAAAACATTTGCACGACCGCTAGTTGAATATGAAGCCACCGTGTTCAGTTCAGCGGAGAAAAAGGATGTAGCTGCATTGAAAAAGGTCCAAAAAATTTCACACTCAAAATTCTTGTTCGATGCGGAAGTTCTCTTTACATCAGAGTTCCGAAATATACTTCAGAAACAGGTACTTCTACCATGCAATTCTCCAATCTCGGCGCATGATATTTAACGTATGCATGGTTTATGAGCTCTTGAACCAATCCGCGAGGCTAGGTCCTTTTGACTTTTTTGAAGTCAGACCATCTCGTACTAGAGATGGACAAGCCAAAATACATCTGACTTGTCCATGTCCAGAAACTAGCATGAAGGCCAGAAGTTTTTCGTTCCGAGCCGCAAACACTTATAAAGTTGACGAAGAATAGTGTTTTATCCGGTACATTGAAGCAGTTTAGAAGGCAGATAGCTGCCAAGCTATTAAGCATGTAGGGTGGTATTTGTTCGAGGATGATTGTCTTTTATAAGGTGCTTGTTTCATTTACTTCCTTTACTTCTGAACGTTTCCGTTTGATAACGATGTTTTAACTAAGTCGCGTGCATTCTATTTGTTGAGTTTTCTTTTCTGCTGAGGTTTTGTTAGTTTTATTTTTTACGTCCGCCTTACTCGTCGTAATAAACATATAACATATATAACACTCCATCCTTTGATATGAGCGTTATGCATGGCTATTTGCTATCGCCTTTGGGGAGGAACTTATGGAAGCACTGGGAATATATCGCATCGAACCACAAAAAAAAGGGTAAGAGGATATGTGTGACCTCTTGAGACCGAATGAATGATAACACCTCGTTGGTTCAAGATAAAAGCGATGTCCTATATTTCTTCGTAGTTCCCCACCCACTCACTCCCTAATTTCCCAAACATTTCTGTTCCTTTTGGTGTGCTCCATGTCATAAATGATATTTGACTGTATCTGTATGTATTGTGATCTTGAAGCCTGACGAAGCCATTGGGCACCGAAAAAATAAACATCAAAAGCTTCAGAAACACATTTCCCAAACAACTTCAACAATACTGGAAAACATAGAAAACAAGCTTTTAATTATGTAACAGAATACAATACAATATAGTATGATATGATATAATATAACATAATATAATATAATATAATATGATAAAATAAAATAAAATAAAATAAAATAAAATAAAATATAATACAATATAATATAATATAATATAATATAATATAATATAATATAATATAATATAATATAATATAACATAATATAATATAATATAGTATAATATAATGTAATATTAGTATAATGGTACCAAATAATGAAAACAACACGAAACAACATAGTAGGATGTAATGTTATATTTTATTACATTATAATATGCTATGCTACATTACTTCCAGTTATGCTACATTACCTCGAATTATACCATACTACCTTGAATTATTTTGAACTATACTACATCATCTATTTCTTCTCGACGGGTAATAATCATTGAATTTCATGAGTAATATTCGTGGAAGCAAGCAAGATAATGGGAAACAATAGTATAGAGCGCAAAGAATAGAGAAATAGGATGAAAGACAAGGAACGGAAGAAATGGGGATCTTTTTCCCTCTTTGGAGCTCCTCGAAACCACGCCCTCCTTTCAATTGCCATTTTCACCGAATCTATGCTGCGAAACTAATTCATCAAAGTGACAATAGGTGCTCAAAGGAGACAGAGGGACACTTCATTTATCGGTCGTCCGAGCTCGAAATCAAAGCGGCCCGAGCCTCAAAAAGAAAATGTTCCGAATGAATCACTGAATGCGCTACCCTTAGTTATGAGCGATTGCTACACAGTGACATAAACGGAAATAGTCGTACTGCTTTGTTTACTCTTTAGGAATATGTACAAAATTTGTAAAGGCAATCAGACCATCAGGGGCCCTGACACATACGGGACCAGCTAACGAAGTTAATGAGCTGAATGCCTCGTATACCAATTAGCCGGGGATGTTTTCATGCATGGAAAATGCTGTAAATTAAATCTTTGCGTCAGGAAAATCAGAAAAAAATAATTGATATGAAAAAGGGTCCATTTACACTATGAGGCAATCTGGCTTCAGAGAGGTTTCCAGTTGCATCAAAAACTGACCTTAGCTGAAACCACTACACTAGTTTGTTTTTAGGTTTCTGCTCCAAAGTTAAATAGCATAACTAGCTTTTCCGTTACTCAGTAATGAACAAAATGATACTGAGTTCATCTTTCAGAAGGTTTAAATTAGCCTTAGGCCTTTACAATTTTGATAAAAAGCATCCCAATGAATCGTTGGACAACACCGAGCAATTTATCCTTTCACATCTTCAGCATCAGTGTTTTTTCTAAAACGAAAATTGTCAATCATCAATATAGCCCGGGTTCCAATAGATCACCAACCAACCATCTATCATTTTGGTAAAAAAAGATGGTCAATCAGAGATACTGCCAATGTCATCCGGATTTATGCTGATGGCTCGTGAATTTTTCTTTTATAAGCCATATATATTGTATTTTTCCAAAACATTCAGTAAGTTCCACATTTCCATATTAATCAGAATATTTACGAATTTTATAAAAATGGGACGATGTAGTAGACCTACGGTATGAAATCTGACACTATTGCTCTACTTTGATTTCTAGAAGACTTACTAATTACCGTTATCAGAAAAGGTCAGAAAAATTGGATGGAGGAAAAAAAGATCTGAATAGAATTGGACCCAGCGAGCATTGAAAAGACGCAGCCGAAGGCGAAAGCTACATGCCTGAACTATATAACCATTGTTCTTGAGTTCTATTGAATCCCGCCTTCTTTAGTTCTCCCAACCAAGTTACGAATAACTAAATATTTTGGCGAAAAACTCTAACTGAGCTAGCAACTGGTGGAAATATCGATTTTGCACACCACGCCATGTACCTATGGTTGTCTTGAAAATTAAGTTCGACTGATAGTTAGTGGAGGACAAGACTTGGAGCCAAACGATAACATTGAAACTGTACGGAATGATTCCAGCTAGCCGGTCATGTCGTAGCCACGTGCGACAAACATATGGTCATTTGGATGGATATCAAGCGTAACGCTTCCCTATTCATCATTAACTTCAGCCAACGGCAGTCATCTTGGCAAATCCACGATCATTACGTTTTTGAATAGTACGCCAGGATTCCTTCACTGAATGGTGATTAACA